ATTTGTGGAAATTTTAGGCCAAGGTAACCTTTGACAGATAAACAGTGAAAACCGACATAGAATGGGAAGAATGAGTTTGTTTTTAAAGATACAGAAGATGACATCACACTTGAACTTTCCAGTGAAGAGTGTTAAATTTATACTAAAAGCTAGAATTTATATACTCACTGCCATCCGGTTGGTTCCAACGCACAGAGACCCTGTAAGGGATTTCTAAGACTACTTGCTTTTAGGAAGAGGCAGCCTCATCTTTTTCCCATGGAGTGGCTGGTGGGTCTGAACTGCCAACTTTATATTGACAGCCAGTGCCTAATCCACAGTGCCACCAGGGCTGCTGTTGGAATATTAAAATGTCAACAATGATAGTAGATGACTATGGAGGAAGGGGTGTGAGGACCACAGCTGACCTCCTCCAGCTACCCAAAGGAGAAGGGGAATCCAACTCCGCACCCTCCAAAGGCTAACTGCCACCGGTCGATGGAGGTCAGACATGCCTCTGTCCTTCTCTCTTCTTTTATCTTATTCTGACCCCCACAGCACTCCACTTCTCTGGTGGGTTCAATAATCCGTTGTAATGTGCACACAGAACTCACAGGCAGTACTCAGATTAGAGGGGTTTATGAGGGTAGTTAACAGATTACAAGACCGCATCAGGGCCTCTTCTCAGCCAGCAGTCAGGTGATTCCGTGGTCTCTACCTTGTTCTCTAGGCCAAGAAGCCTACCTGCCACCCTGCCCCCTTGTCCCGCAGTGCTGCTTCATCCTGGCTTGGCTCCTTCCAGGCCTGAGCTGCCTCTGCCACTTCAGACAGGGCTCTCACATGCACCCTGTTGGCAACTCCTCTTTATTGGCAGCCACAGGAGTCTGTCTCTCTGTTCTTGCTTCTGAGATGGCTCTCTTATACAAAGAGAAATGAAAAAACTGACCAATCCCCAAGTTAAAGTTCATTATACCTAATTTGCATTGTTCTACCCAGTCATTTGATGAGCATTATAGAGAGATGGCTACCACTTTCCTGTCAGTGTGTCTTACTCTAGTGGTTACATATTGTGTTTCTAGAAGCTATGTCACTGGTATTTGAAATGCCAGCAGGGTCACCCAAAGTGAATGGGTTTTTGCGGAGCTTCCAGACTAAGAGCATGCTACCAAGAAAGAATAAACTGTCCACTTCTGGAGTAGTTGCCACTGTAACCTTATGACTAACAGTGAAACGCTGTCTCCAGTATAGTGCTAGAAGATGAGCCCCCTGAGAGTCACCCTTAATGATGTGGATGGAGTGATGCACTTGAGACCTTCCATTGCGGGTGGGGCGCGACTCAAAATGAAAAGAAGCAGCCGCAAGCATCCATTAATAATCAGAACATGAAATGTACAAAGGATGAAATCCAGGAAAATTACACGTCATCAAAAATTAAATAAAATGCATAAACATTGATGTCCTGGGCATGGACAAGCTGACATGCACTGGTGCTGTCTTTCTTCTTGAGCTGACTGTATGGGTTTATCCTGCGGCATCTCTGGGTGTTGTACTTGGTGTGGCTGAAAAACCAGTGCTCTCCTATTCTGGGACATAAGTGCTTTGACCCCAAAGCCTTTGTTTGCAGTTTCTGTTCAGTGACTAACCAAGACCCTGTTTATGTTGAGAAAGTGTTTAAGCAAGAATTTGAAAAGAAAATGTGCCCTTGGATAATCCGCTTACAGGTAATTCGAGTGGACTCATTTCTGTTAAAAGTGACATTTCATTCCAGTATGTCATTAGTCTTTTTATTGTGAAATATACAAAAGTATTTTTATAGCAAAAGAGACCTCTTTTTCTTCCAAGTTCTTTTCCTGTTTTGTTTGACACCACTCCCTCTTTTTTTATATGCCAATTTTTTTTTCTCATACACTGTGGATGGAAATAGTCTGTTTGATTCCATCTGTGTCTTGTAGCTGTGAACAGACTTCTTAACTTCTTAGCGCCTCAGTTCCCTATACTTATAATATGGCTAATTCCCTTAGAGTTTTATTATGAGGATTAAGTGAATTAATTCATATGGAGCACACCCCCACACGAATTATAGTAAGTACTTATAAGAACTAATAATCATACTACGTATGTTTTTAAAAGAACTTGCCAATTAATGAGCACCTATGTGTTTAAAAAGGTAACAGTAACTTATAATTTCTCATTTTTAACATTGTTTACATGCTTGCAAAAACCTCATCTTACATTTAGTCTAAGAGTGCTAGATTGGTTGGGTTTTAAAAAATGAACCACTATAACTTACCATAGTAATAGAATAAGATAAAAAATATTCGGATTCCTCAGTAGCTTTAGGAAAAGCAGCACACCCATTCAAAACAAAAACAAAGAAAAAAATTCGAATTGTTTAATTGATATAAAATTCACATATACACTTCCATAGTTAAGTCACTTTTAAAAAGTTGTAGATATAGCTAGATTTTCCTCCCCCCACCCTCCCCGCGTTCACTGTTTGCTCCCCCATTCCACTCACCACCCCTTCCCATGAGCCATTGCTTCAGTTATTGTCTTTGTGCATCCCCTCCTTCTGTGCTTCATAAACTGGGGAACCTAACAGGAACAATCAAAAATAAAATGAAGCATAAAAGAATAAAGTAAAGATAAAGACAAAAATGAAGAGTAAGAAAGGAAAGACCATTAGCAATATTAAAAAGCCAGAAGAGAAATTTCTGTCATGGAACAAGTGAGAAATATTTGAGCCTAGAGCAAATTCAGGTTGTGTCAAGAGGGAGATCAACTGACCAAGTATCATATTATACCACGGTTCAAGTCATCATAATCAAGTTTACAATGCTCTCTGTCTGATAGTAAAGCTGTTCACATCCCTCTCCTGTGGCCAGAGGACATCTGCCAAAGGTTTAATCTGACCAGATGCAAACTAAAATTATTGACAGATCAGCCACAGTCTCAGGGCAGATATCACACGTCGAGCTAAACTACTGAAAGTGTTCCCTTTCAAGACAAGGGCACATCTGCTGTTATCTTTCTATATGCTATTATACTGAAGATTGTAGTCAATTTTTTTTAAAAGGCAAAATGAAATTGTCATTAGTTACAGTGGTTACAATTGTGAACTCTTGGTGGAGAACTGATTTAGATAAAGAAAAAATAACATGGAAAACCTGATCAGTAAGTGAAGTTATAGAAAATTATAGCAAAATTTTCAGTAAGATAGCCTTACTGAACAGAAACCATAAAATAAAACAATAAAAGAGAAATTGTTCATTTGTACTACATCAAAATGAATATGTATGGTATAAAAATACCATCAAGAAAATAAGACAGCCATATAATAGGAGAAAATGCTTGTAAATTGTACTGTTGATAAGGGTCTAGCATCTACAATATATAAAGGATTCTTACAATTTAGCTATAAAAAGACAGACAACCCAAATAAAAATGAGCAAAGGACTTAAATAGACATTAATCCAAGGAATATAGATAAATGGCCAACAAGCATGCTAAAAGATATTCAGTATCATTACTCATCAGGGTATTGCAGATCAAAATCATAATGATGTAGTTCTCCTCATCCACTGGGATGACTGCAGTACATTTAAAGGGGAGAATAACCAACAACAGTGAGTCCTTGAAGACGTTGGAACCCTGTGCATCACTGGGGTAAGTATAAAAAGGGTGCAACCCCTTGGAAACGATTGGCGTTTCCTCAACAGCTGTGATCCAGCAAGAGAACTGAAAATATATGTTCCTGTGCAAACTTTAATAAGAATGTTCATAGTAACATTATTAATAGTACCCTGGGGGTGTAGAGATTACACGTTGGACTATAATCCCCATGGTCGGCAGTTCAAACCTTACCAGGAGCTCCACAGAACAGAGTAGGCTTTCTACTCCCGTAAACACTAACATTCTGTAAACAGAAACCCACAGGGGGTCACTCTGAGTCAGTGTTGACTCGCTGGCAGTGAGTTTGGTTTTTTGGTTCAGTGAAGTAGAAACTACTCAACATTCGGACCAGTGGATGAATGAATGGGTAAAGAAAATGTAGCCTGTTCATACACTGGAAAATTACTCAGCCATGAAAAGGAGCGAAACACATGCTGCCAAGTGAAAGGAGCCAGGCACGAAGTTCCACGTGCTGTATGACGCTGTAAAGCTCTAGAGACAAAAAGCAGACTGCGTGTTGCTCGAGACTTGATGGTGACCAGGAAGAAGGCAAATGATTATTTCTTTTTTGAGGTGACAAAAGTATGCTGTGCAGCATTGTGAATGTACTCTTAAGAGACTTTAAAACAATAAATTCGATATGTCTTTTACCTTATTAAAATGTATATGTAGATAATTGCCATTTTTTAAAACCCCCAACTTAATCAACAAACTATGAAACTAGCTGTTTTTGTTTTCTGACACTGGTGTCTACCAGGTGAGTAGAGAGCAGAGGCGTTGGTCGTTAGGGTGGATGCTCTGTGAAGCCTCTGTTTGGGTTGGACTTTTTGTGTATTTCTTTGAAGACACACTAATGAGACTAACATGCGTCTGTTACTGAGAGAGCTTGTAGAAAATGGGTCCCAGTGATGCGTTCACACACCTTTCGTTGAGTATAAAGGTCTGATTGGAGGAGCTGGAACCCAGTGGCAGTGCTTTCTCACTCCGTCTCATAAACCTCGTCAAGTCCACAGACCTTCAGTTACTGCCGTTCTCATGCAGAAGGCTACTGTTCTTCCCATTTTAGCTGACATGCTTTTAACATTTCTGAAAAGTCAACTGTGACTTTTCATTCTGAGCAGATTCCCAAATTCAGAATAAGCATTTTTCCATCTTCTATGAGAACAGTTCAGTCATTTTGTAGAAGTCATTTTAGAAATCAGTTTGTTGAAATAAATGTGATCTGTTGCTGATTTGTTAGCTTAACAACACAACCTTCATACTATAAGAATAAAATTATAGCCAAGATTTTGACTTATTAGGAAATTATCAACAAAACAACTAACGATGATAAATTTTTTTCTTCTCAGGGCCAAGGAATATGAGAGCTTGATGGAAACAAAAAATTCTGGTTCTGACTCACCTTATAAAGCCAAGTGAGTATTCTTTTTCACGTCTCAGTTTTCCTTCTCTGCCTACAACCAAGTCTGCTTGCACTGTCATTTTGTGTCTTTTATCTGGAATACTTGCCCTAACACAGTGGTTCTCAAATAGAAGAGATTAGCACATGTCTGGAGAGGTCGCTGTTTTTACCACCGTTGGGGGACTGGTGCTACTAGCCTGTAGATCAGTGATTTCTGTTCAACCTCCTGCAGTGCACAGGACAGCTCCCTACAACAAGGATAATCTGATCCACAGGATCGATGGTGCTGAGCTAGGAAGATCATGGTGTAACATAATCAGGTTCTGGCCAGGCCAGGCCGTGCTGGTGCTTGTTCTGATGAAACCTCTCTCAGGATTATTCCTAGGACCTCAAGAGAGCAGAGAACTTAAGTTTCACCATTGGGATGTTAGCTTAATTACACAATAGCTGTTGTTGTTGTTGTTGTTAGGGGCAGTTGTAGGTTCCTTATTCATAAGACCCTGTGTACGACAAACAGAAACACCACCAGAGCCTGCACCATCCGCACAATTGTTCTTCTGTGAGAACAGTTGTTACGGCCACTGTATGGAAGGTCTTTCCTTTCTCACTCTCCCTTTATTTTACCAAGCATGATACTCTTTTTCCAGGAACTGACATTGCCTGATAATAAGTCCAAAGTATGTGTCTCTGCGGAGCTTTCTGGCTGTACTTCTTCCAAGACAGATTGTTTGTTCTTTTAGCAGTTGATGGTACCAGTAACATAAGTAAAATGCAGTGGTTTTTCTTAGTTTTCCTTATTCAGTGTCCCCCTTTCAGAATGCATATGAGGCAATTGAAAATACCAAGACTTGGGTCAGATATACCTTAGTCCTCAAAGTGATATCCTTACTTTTCAACGCATTACAGGAGTCCTCAAACTTTTTAAACATGGGGCCAGTTCACTGTCCCTCAGACCCGTTGGAGGGCCGGACTATAGTTTTAAAAGAACTATGAACAAATTCCTATGCACACTGCACATATCTTATTTTGAAGTAGGACAGGCAGAGGCGGCAAAAACACCCAGCAGGCTGTATAAATGTCCTCGGCGGGCCGCATGTGGCCTACGGGCCGTAGTTTGATGACCCCTGCCTTAAGAGGTCTTCTGCCGCAGATTAACCCAATGCAATGCATCACTTGACCTTTTGATGGCTGCTTCCATAAGCTTTAATTGTGGATCCATCCAAGCAAGACATAATCCTTGCCTATTTCAACCTTTTCTTTGCTTATCATGATCTTACCTATTGGTCCAGTGGTGAGGATTTTGGATTGCTTTACATTGAGTCATAATCCATACTGAAGACAGCAAGCCTTGATCTTCATCAGCAAGTGCTTCAACTCCTGCTCACTTTCAGCAAGCAAGGCTGTGTCTTATGCACATCACAGGTTGTTTGTAAGCCTTCCTCCGATCCTGATGCCACATTCTTCTTCATATAATCCCGCTTCTCTGATTATTTGCTCTCAGCATACAGATTGAGGGGTGAGGGGATACAACCATGATGCAAACCTTCCTGATTTCAAACCATGCAGTATTCCTAGTAAACCAAAGCATCAGCAGTTTTCTTCTCTCACAATGATTCCTAGTGTAAAGACAGAGAGGTCACTGGGCTGGGATTGAAGATCGGTCTGTTATTAGATGGTACTGCCCATTCTCAGAACATTCCATTGATATTGCACTTTGGCTCCATCATTTCTTCCATTTGCCTTAGCTAGTTTCAAAATCTCTTCTGACATCCACTTTGACCTTTGCCATCTTTTCAATGACCACTTTCTTTCTTCATGCATGCTGTCCTGCCATAGCTCATCAGGTCTTCTCACACTAGCGTTCAGCCAGTCAGTCTGTTCTTGAGATGGTCTCGAAATTGAAGTGGGAGACACTCAAGGTCATATGTTGTCTCTTGGGGACTTGTTTTAATTTCCTTCAGCTTCAACCAGAACTTACATAGGAATAATTAATGATCTGTTCCAAAGTCAGGCTTTGGCCTTTTTAACCATTACATCTTAATTACATCTTTGATCAATTTCAGACTTTAGATATTGGTAGAATTCTTCAATTTTTTCATCACTAGCTGCAGTGGTTGGTCCATTTGAATAATAGTTGTATTGACTCCATTTCATTGTTGTAGATAGGTATTATCCCATCACAGGCAGCAATGTTTTCTTTTTTAATCATTTAACTGGAGGCTCATACAACTCCTATCATAATACAACTCCTATCATAATATGTACATGCATCCATTGTGTCAAGCACATTTGTACATTTGTTGCCATTATCGTTTTCAAAACATTTTC